ATATACCTAATATACCTAATTATCTTTTCCTTATTTATCTATCTTTTTGTATTACTATTTTTACCTCTAACAATATAATATTATTCTATATTGTATTAATGTATTTTTGTCAATTAAGACTCACATTAATAAACACCTAGACTTGCAGTCTGATTTGGAATAAAAAAATATATATATATATATATATATATTAAATTAATTGAATCGAATAGAATTGAATAAAATTAAATAGAATTGAATAGAATAGAATTGAATAGAATCAAATAGAATCAAATTAAATCATATTAAATTAAATCAAATCAAAATTTTATTCAATTTTTTAAATAAAAGAATCGAATTGAATCAAATTGTTTAAATTTGATTCTAAATAGAATCGTTCAGATCTTTACTCCTATATTTGTTAGATCTTTTTAATTAAATTCTTTAGAATATTTATTGGAAGATTTTGGAGTCACATTCTATTTGACCATATGGTTTTTAAATTTAATAAATTGTATTAATCAAAAATTATAATTTTGAAATATTTACTAGGGAATATATATCTATATTTAAATCTTTTATAAATTTATAGTTAAATAAATTGTAAAAAATTATTTATAAATTATTAATATACTGTATATTAAATTAATTTGTTTTTTTTTTTACCAATATTTTTAAATAAAAACTTTAATTACTTAATACTATCTTAGATATGTAATAATTTTAATATTTGTTTTTTTTACTGTTTAAATAGTTATAAAAAGATATGAGTTAGCATTAAACTAATTAACCAATTGATTATATAAGAAATATTATTACTTTCTTTATGTAATAATTTTTTAATTTAATAAAAGAACAATGTTTTTTTATTTTTTAAAAAAAATTTAATAATATAAAATTAAAAATAATTAATTATGCTACTTTATAGCCAACATTTTACCTCTTACTAGAATTAAGTAAAATTATATCAAATCATATAATTTATTCAATTTCATTAATTCAGAAATCAAAAACATTTTGTAGATTAAAAAAAGACAAATCTAATAATAACTCACAAGAAGATACTATTATTAATTTATTTTTCACTGTTGTTAACTTATTTATTCAATCTAAATATAACTATTCCAAGTATATTTATAGTTTAACAATTTTATTTGCCAATTTTATTTTTATTTTTTCTAATATTGAATAGGTATTCATAGCTGCTTGATACTATTTAGCAAGATATATTGTTTTAAATTTTCTTTTCAATATTAGTTATATAGTTACTATAAACAAGCTAGCATTTAACTCATTATATTAATACATGAGAGATATTGTTTTTTTTACAATATATATCCTGTTATATACAAACCAAATAAAGAAATAATGTTTATCTACTTAAAAAAAAAATTAAAGATAATTGTTAAAATTTTTAAATATAAAAAAATAAAAATTTTTAATACTTGTAAAATTTATATTTAAAAATTCTTATTTTTTATTTATTTATTATTTTAAGAATTTTATTTTTTAATAAAGTTTAATTTTATTACAATTAAATATATATATATTTTAAAATTTAAAAAATTTTTAATAAAATACTATTTTTTTTTATATAAAATCAAAAGTTTGATTTAATTTAATTTAATTTTTTAATTAATTAATAGTTTTTGAATAATTTTAATTAATTAATTAAATTGTTAAAGGAAATTTTATTAGATTAATTTTATTTTAATTAAGTATTTAAAGTAAGAATCCTAATGATTCTCTTCGATTCTGTATTTGATTCTCAAGTTTATATTAAATTTAATAGGTGGGGTATACTTCACTATAATTTTTAATAGTGTTCTGAATCTCATGTGATTCTGTTCAATTTCAATTTTTGGAACTATAATTTAAAGTATAAAATTTTTTAAAAATATTTAAATATATTAAGAAGAAATATTTTAATATAAAGAATTTGTTAACTTTTTAATGAAATAATTTAATAAATTTTAAAATACGTAGTTTTTTTTTGAAATTTTTTTATAGACTTTTCAATTTTTTTAAAAAATATATGTATATAAAATATTTATAAGCCAAAACAAAATTCTTTTCATAAAATTAGTTACTAGCTATGATTTAATTTTTTCAATATAAATTTTTATAGTTTGCATATATGATAAGTTAGAATTAATTTATTTTCTATAAAGATCTTTAATATAATAACAGATAACAAAGTTTAATAAAGTCTTATATTTAATACTTGTTTAAAAAAAAAAAAAAGAATTATTTTTTATAAAAAGTAATGTATAAAAAAAATTACAATGAAAATATGACTTAATAAAATAATACATATAATTTATAAATATATTATATTAAAAATCAATTTTAAAAATCAACAAGATTTGAAAAATACAGTAAGTAAATCAGTATTGATTTTTGTTTGTATGAATAATAATATACATGATTTTATACAATTTGTTTTGGAACCATCATATTTTTATTATTTTGATTTTTGAAACTTGTCTTTAATGATCATAACATTATATAAAGATTATTCAAATAATTTAATAATTTCAACTGTGTTTGATATACCGTATTACAGTAGTACATATAAGATAAAATATCGTCAAAGTTTACCTATTGTCGTGACCTGATGATCGATTGATCACATGGTGCGTAAAGTTTGGATCACATGAAGGAATAATAGAGACACTTTACATTGTATTCAATGGGATTGTTTCCTTCTGAACACTCTGACGTCGACCGTAGCAACGTGATCGTGCTTTTTTTTTTCTCCTTTCCAGTTTCCCCGATATCACCAACACGGTACGAAATTGAAAATTGCACGTTCTTTCTAAATTGTCAATGGAATGTCTCCTTGACATATACACTAGCTAGCCCTAACTATTGTCTGTCCTTCTAAATAACATGACACACAATTGGAATCTGATTAACGGAACGTTCGCATGATTTGACATCACGCGACTCGAAAATTTCGATGCGAATTCAAGGAGAAAAAACGCATCACACCCAAAATTTTCGAATAATCATTTCCAGTAAGAGATCGGGATGACTGTCGCTCATTACATCGCAATGCCATGCAATAAATGGAGGATCACCCTAAAAATTTTTGAAAGGATTGTGCTTTGTCAATTAATTGTCACATTAACCAAAGCTACCTTACGGAAAGTTCTAAGACCGCATTAACCTATAAAGTGCAGTGACCTGTTTCTACCGCTCGCTCGCTCATTTATCGGAGAGCTCTGGACAATATACGCGATAAATATCACGTGATAAAACCAATTTTCACGTATATTCTGATTGAATTCATTATCAACGGGAATTTTAAACATAAAAATACAATCAACAACTTAATAAATTACAATAGAAATAAAGTCCATATTCTCAAGTAAGTCTTGAGGTAATACCGAATGTTAAGCATTAAAATCTTCCGGAAGTTCCAAATCAATTAGGCGGGAATCAAATACTACGTATAAATAAAAATTCAAGTAAACATCTTAGTATGCATGTAGGCTGTACATAATATATCATTGAAACAATGGTTACCGCTGGAACCGGAACGAGAGCTCGAACTTGAACTCAGAGATTGAGTTAGAAATGAAAAGTCTAATTTCCGACTCGTATAACAGGCATTTGGATGTGTTGTGTAAACGATGCCAGATCCTGAAGGATCAACATTAGTTGGGTTGGTTTTTTTCCATCTTTCTATTTCCTTAACTTGATCCCAAAATTCATCATATTCTTTGGAATCATAGACTCCAAACCATTTCCCAAATTGATATTTTAATTCTTGACAGGTTGGTCGATTCGCGGGATTGCCATCCCAACATTGCTTAGTTAACTGGATGAATAATTGCGGTGTAGTTTCAGGTATAATCCTTGGACGAGAACCTTGGCAAATACTCAAGGCAAGGGGGAAATCATGTGGACAGTCATTGTAAGGCGGATATCCGGTCGCCACTTCGTTCATGAGAATCCCAAATGAATAAATGTCAGCCGGTTGCGTGTATTCATACTTACGTAAAACCTCCGGAGCGACGTAAGGTAGGGACCCGATGACTTTCTGTTCTCCTTTCCTCTCCTTTAAAGAACCATTACTGGTAATTGGTTTACATAAACCGAAATCGGTGATACACGCGTCTTCAAAATTGAATAATACGATATTCCCCCCGTGAAAATCACGATGAGTGAGACCTGCGTTGTGTATATCCTCGAGTCCTCTAAGTGTCATATACAAAATTTTCAACTTTTGATACCAATCCAACGAGTGAAAATTTTTATCCAAGTAATGGCGAAGACTTCCCTCTTCAGCATACCGCATGACCATCATAAAATCCGATGATTCGGGATTTCTGGTTATTCCATAACATGGTATGACTCGATATCCTCTTTTCACGATGATGGATTTTAGCTGACTTCTAATCTGCGATGTAAATGCAAAATTAAGAATCCATACGTCTGCATAAGTGTGACGTATATCGTGAGAGCATTAAAAGAATCATGTCAGTGTAAATTTTGATAAATTTACCTCGTCAAAAAATTCCGAATATATTTCTTCTGAATTGTAAAGGCTTTTTAGGACAACTTTAGTATCACCGAGAAGGTCCCCGCGCCTTGACCAGTCCTTTTTTTCAATATCCCATTTGTAAATATAACCTCGTTTCCATATGGCTTTATACACTTTACCAAAACCACCCTGAGAGAGATAAGTGACGTCGGTGAATAGATTATATGGAATCCACTCTAATTTCTGAAAGTGATCGGAAGCGCTAAGCTGTGTTTCCTGAATAAACTTGTCAATAACACTATTTCCACTTGTCCAAGTGCCAAATTTCTCTTGAAAATGTCGTGCGTTGCAAGGTTTGCACCACACCCAAATATCTTCACTGTTGCTATACTCTCCACATTCCTTACATACGAGGAACATATTAGGTGTATATACCATCTACAAATTGGAACCTAGTTCACACGTAACAATACATGGTTATTGATACCATAAATGGGATCTTTGGTTTACGTAATTTTTATATGAACTAAAAGATTCAAAAAACAGAATTTTGATGCAGGTCATTGTTACACGAGTGTTTCTTAGAGGGCGAAACGTTCCGTTCCAAGGCAAGCTAATAAGCTAAACACGAACACTACTTGTACTATGCTTTTCTCGGTAATTTTTTCTTTTAAGTAAAAAAATTCAGTTCAAGCGATGACAAAAATAACACATTGTATTTTTGACATGGATGGTTGGTCACTTTTTTCTTTTTCTTACTCAAAAATCTCTCTTCCTTTCTCTCCCTCTCTTTTAAATATATATGCGTTGGTTCTCTGGCATAGGTTTATTATTGGTAAGCCTGATCTGTTGAAGAAATGATTCTCTCGGTAAGAGTTTATTTTAAGTGTTCAACTTGCCAACTCACAATTTGACAGGACACCGAACAAATTTATTCCGACGTGATCTGTAAGATCTTCATAATGATGGAATCGACAATATTGTTACCAAACAACAAAATAAATAATATTATACGTTTAACATTGTCTAATTTATTAGCCGAAATTCTGGAAAGATACGGAAAAAAATACACATGGGAACTCAAATCGCGTTCAATGGGCCTTCGCCAAGATGATGTAAAATCGCAGTAGTGCCTTCGAGTTGTTACAATCTTCGAGTTAACATTCAAAGTCCCCATTATCAATTTAGTCGGCTACCTTCTTAATAGAAAACACTGGTATCGACATGACCGCAGAAGAGCTTATTAGAGAAAGAAATGAAAAGCATGTATGCCAATTTCGTGGTTTTCTCATTGCGTCCAATGTCTCGAAATTTTGATCTCTCAATAGATTACCTAACTTTTTGATCACAAAAAGATTCAAAGGTTCCCTTTTGCCAGACCTATGCCCGGTGCCATGGTAACGTGGTCATCAATTTTGCCTCATGTTTGTTATTTGCATAATGCGCATTAAGTAACTAATTTGCTTATCTAAATAAGCGTCTTGTAAAACATCTGAAAGCACATAACATTCCGATGGTGGTAAGCAACTTGACCCGGGGGTTTTTTTTTTGGTCGTTTAAACGTTGAGTCTCAAATAGATAAATGTAAAATAGGTGGCAACAAGTTCCCACCGTAACAGTTTCATGATCAAAGCCTCCAACAATCAAGACCTTTTTGGCATGTTTGATGATGTCACTTGTGGAAATGATCCGGGTGTCAAGAATGGAAAACCTGCACCAGATTTATTCCTTGTTGCTTGTGAGAAGATCGGTAACCCGCCTGTGGAACAATGCCTTGTATTTGAGGATGCACCTAATGGGGTTCGGGCTGCAAAGAATGCGGGAATGCATGTAAGCCTATCTCTTGAGAATAGGAAATTTAGACACGGAAAAATTCCTTATTTCATGATTTCCTTTTAATTAGGTGGTTTGGGTACCAGATCCTAATGTTGCAGCACTACATCCAGGTGATAATGGTGCAGATGATGTGATTTCTTCTTTGGAAAATTTTGACCCCGCAAAATTTGGTTTGCCACCTTTTAGCAACTAGGCGAAAATCTTTAAAATTATTTGTTTGATTCCTTTGCTGGTCAATAAAGAGGTTTAACTTTTTTTCATCAGAGACATTCAATTCAACTGGTTGAGTTTTACGAAACGACAATTCTTGATTGTTTACGTGATGCTAACAAAAACGAATGCGCAAATAAGCTCAATGCAATTTATAAAAGATATGGAGAAAAGCGAGATGAGCATAATTTTTTTTTTTTTTTTAAAAAAAAAAAAAAGCAGCTGCTGCTGCGTCACTATCGCAGCTACATTCGATGCTATAATTGTCACGTGACAAAGAGAGAACTGGTTATCTATCAATTTTACATGAATACAGTAATTTTCAATGAGAACCGGAGAGTTGATAGATGACCCACAAAAATTACTTGTTGCCTTCGCTAAATTGTATCACCGCATACTTTCCAGAATACATCCAATCTTCTTCAATAGGGTTCAATCTTTCTTCAACTCCTTTGTCAAGTCCAACTACAACGTCAGATTTGCTGGTTCTCAAAGCCAATACTGGTGGCGCACCCTTTGCGTTTGCCAACGGTCCGATGGCATCTCTAAACGGCGTAGTCGTCTTCCATTTGCAATCATATACCAACTTCCGATAATTTAAATCTCCTTTGAATATCACGAGTTGAGATTTACACAGGTTAGCGTACAATTCCGGTGCTTTCTCTTCAAAGTGCCAATAGGCGTATGGTGACGTCCAGAAATAATCTGAAGTAAGGATCCATTGAGAATTGGCGACATAAGATTGCCAGCGGCCAGTGAGTTTCTTGAGAAACGATCTTTCCGATTCGGATGCTGCGAAGAATGCCTCGTCTTGAAGAGTTTTGATGATCCAGTTGAAATCTTGTGGCGTGGTGTCCGAGACAAACCACGGAATTGATTTTGCGTGAAAGTGGATCTCCCGCGCGTAGCCAGATTGAATTAGCCAATCTGCAAAGACCAAGTCCCCGTATAACTCAAAACCTGAGGATGAAAAAGCAATTGTCGTAATTTTAATGAAAAAAAACGTGAACAGCAATTCAAGTTTTAACAGGTCATTACCGGCGTTATCCAAAACAAAGTCGATCCTAACATTGCGGAATTTTGAAATCCATGTCCATGCCTCATCCAAATCATTCGCTAAAATGTTCTTCTCGAATTCTTCCAAATATTTCGCTCCGGTCCCCTGCAATCTCTTGATATCGTCATGGTTAAGGTGTGGTAGCATCGATAAATCCGTTGCATTTCCCCAAAGTGATACTTGTGCAAGTTCATGGAAGATGAGTCGGTTGCTATCAAAATCATCATTACCCTTTTCATTTGGTGGGAAAATCAATTCGTCAATGCGCTTTGCAATTTCAATGATTGTCTTAGAAGAGGAGCGGAACACTTCTTCTTTTTGGTGAAAATATGGATCGTGGTTGTTCCAATGTTTGGTTTTTACCAGTATCGAATGAACTCGACGATATAAATAGCATTCTGTGAATAACCAAGTGGCGGTATACCAAGTTTTGTCCTTGAAGCATGTGTTTAAGACAAAAATCCATGTTTCGATGTCTGCCTCGTTATCCTCAATTGGACTTAGTTAACGATCAAGGAAAAAAAGAATTTAAGCATCTGCTCAATTTTTCAAGAGCCTCATTTAAGGACTGTATCGCAAACATACATTAACGGTTTATTTTCCTGTATTTGGGATTTTAGTATTTCTAGGGAATTCGCAATTTCTTTTCCTTCTTGAATTTTATCGACCTCCGAGGGATTCAACGAATTGCAAGCCTGATGAAAGTGTTTGATAATTTTCGTTATAATTTCCGGCCATCGATATTTCGCTGTCGTGTATGCAAAGCTCTTTTCGTCAGTTGACAGAAGGGCAGGTCGTGGTGGGTTTGCTGGGTTCACCGCCATATAAATGCAAAAAAAAAAAAAAAATTAATAATAATAAATAAAATAAATAATTAGTAAGTTAAAGGCACATCTGTATATATACTGTAGGAAATACCGTATAGTATAACGATACACATGTGAATAAATTTGTGTTTAATACAATGATCCCGACGAATGGGTCCGACGATTCTACTGTAAGGTATATAAATTTTATTTCACAATGGCCTATTATGACGTGACCATATTGCTTATTACGGTCGCTCGCAGATGTGCTACTACTTAGTGGTAAGGATCAGGATTGGCGGAAGTTTGAAATGACACTCGTGAGGTTAGTAACACTCTTAGGTAATTCTGTATGTATGGTTTTTAAGGATTCCCTTAAAAATACGATGCTCATCATGGTTGCCTCGTATTATACTGTATCAGAGGATTATGATCAATTTTTTAATTTAAAAACGTTTCGATATTGTTAATTTGAATCATTATCACCATCAATTTTTTATCCTATTTTATTTTTTTTTTCCACTTGAAAATTTGAATTTATCTAAATTGCATTTTATTTTTTTTTACTATTCATTAAAAAAAAAAAAAATCTATTTAAATTTTGTTTTAATCAATTTATTTTTAATTACAAGGATTTTTTAAATTAATTTTATTTTCGTTTTATTTATCAGTAAAAAGAAATATGCCCAAATCCAGATATGCAATAATGCAATAAAAAAAATAACTAATAAATAATGAATTAACATTAATACCAATCAATTAAATAAATATATATGATTAAATTGAAATTTCAAAAAAAAATTTTTTTGGTTTTGTTATTAAATTTAATTGTTCGTATATATTTATTAACATATTGTATTTAAAATAATTTAAATATTTAAAATTTTTTTTTAATTTTTATAAGCTAATTTAATTAATTTTAGAATACTTTAAAAATTATAAACCAATTTTAGTTGATAAAATTAAATCATTATAATTACATAAAAATCAGATAATTCTAATAATATAAAAAATTTAATTTAAATTTGTATAAGTTATATAAACAAATATTTTATGTTGTATTATAATTTAATTTATCAAAGTATTATTAATTTTATAAAAAATAATAAAGATTATAAAGAAGATTATAATTATATAACAACTTTTTTAAAAATATTTTTTATTTAAGGTTTAAAGATTAAAACTAATTTAAAAACATTATTATTATATAGTCATAATATTATTAAAATTATATTTGAAATTAAAATATACTTGAATTATTTTATTAAACAATAACTAAAAAATTATTATATAATTTTTTTGTAATTTTATTATCAATAAAAAATTTTTTACTTAAATAATTTATAATGAATAAACCTTTACAAATAAATTTTTTTTTAATATTTTTTATAATAATTAATATTTTTATAATAATATTTTATTTCATAATAAAAATTTATTTTTAAATACAATTATTGTTTTTATAAAAATTTTTTATATACTTTAAATAAAATTTTTAAAATAAACTTATTAATTAATTATTAATATAAATACTATATACAGTATAGTACAAAAGTTATTGAACCAATATTTTTTGTTATAATTCAATAATTATTTATTTATTTTAAGTAAAATAGTAATAAAATATCTTTGTGATTAACATATTATCTTGGCAGGCGACTTCAATTCCTACCCCTATAATTCCCTATCTATTAATGCCCTTACTGCTTCACACAAAAGAACCATATATAAATACCTTAGCAAGTTCATAGATATTGCCAAGGCCACTGACAAGGACCATATTTTCACTCACGTAACAAA